TTTATGACTTTTTTGCAGTGGTCGTTAAGTGAATCACTTAGTCGTTAAGTGAATCACGCAGTTCCCCATTAATTTTGCTTGCTGGAAGCTGGCTGGGAAGGTCGCAATGGTGATCATGTAACCATGGGAAGCTGCAACCGTTGGGTGAGCTGGTTGCCAAACACGCAGATTGTGATCACATGACTGAGGGGGTGCTGTGATAGTTGTAACTTTGAGTAACTTGTAAGAGTATCTTCTGCATTGCAAAATACAGTCATCTCCTCCAGTAACAAATGCAAAAAAGATATTATGTAAGATAATAGTACTAATACATGAATAATGTAATAATATGTAATTATTTTTATTTTTAGACAATCCTTATAGGTACGTGGCTTGGATCAATTGCAGGGTAAGTTGTTAATCAATCAATTTAATTACATTGTGTTGATGTGATTATGGATGTCATAGAAATATTTATGTGTTCTTGGGTTTTAGCTTCTTCGATGCAGACATTGTGATGTGGGCTATTGGTGCTACTTCATTTGTGACATTGGGACTGTATGTTTTTGCTCTTCAGACAAAAGTAAGCAGTCACTGTTTAAATATCCTACGTAACCATTTGAGAAATGAACAATTAAATCACAATTAAAAATCAGGTATGTTCTGTCTCCTGAACTATATATTGGTTACCTGGGATTTGGGTATTTGGCATAATGAAGGTGTTACTGGGAAAGGTAATTAGCATATACTTAAACTTATGTAAGAACAAGTACACCTTTTCTTTTACTTACACTGACATAGCAGCCATAGTGCATTTGTTCATAGGCCTTGGATTAAAAATTGCTCTATTAGAAATCAGGCAATGTTTCTGTACTTTCTATTTCTGTGGGAAGACCCTTAACTTTAAGTGTCTGCTGGTCAGCTCTCCTTGTAGTTTCATCCAAACTTTATCATGCAGATCTATATTCTTACTTGCGTTTCAGTTGTAGATTCTGCCTTCACCCTGGGTTCATGAGAACAAGAGTGACTACTGTTGGAACTTGCTAAGTTGAGCCTGCATAGATTTCATGTCTTCTCATAATAAACTCATGTTCAATCCAAAATAATAATATTTTAGTAGTTAGTACTATGCTAAGTCTTTATGAACATTTGTCGGCCTTGCAGGGTAAACCAGATAGGAATCACAACCAGATGAGCTAATTCTACTTTATTGTAAAGCTACATTGACAGAATCTTGCAAGTCTGAAAGTACAATTTTCCCCTCCAATCTCCTTTACAGCCCAAGAAACTAGGGAGGGTCTGTTCTGAGCCTCTTGTCTTGCCCGTTATCTAGCTGCAGGCTATGTTGTCTCTTATCTGACCATTCACTTGGCAGCATCTCTTTTCCCAGTCTCCCAAGGTCTTTCCCAAATACCATTACAACATTAGCCATCTCAGAAAATAATTTGTCATGATTAGCCTCCTTAAGGTTACACATTGATCGCAATTCATCCATCACCAGAGGAATCGATTCATCCTGAGAAGAACTCTCATCCTCAGATTGAATTATAACCAAAGACTCAGGAGTTTCATTTTAGATATTAAGAATCTTGGCAGCAGGAACAATTTCATCTTGAGGTCTGAATGTCAATATTAACTCTTCTGTGGAGGAGGAGTTGAGAATTTCCTCCTCAACTTTTTTCACCTTCATTTTATGAGGCATAATTAACACTTGCTCTCAGAGATGAAAGATTATTAAAAAAATACTTAGTACTGTAAAGTAAAAACAGAACATGACTGTAAAAGAGGCTCACTAAAATATCTCTCCAACTAAAAGTACTTTGAAGGAGGGACAGGAGAGCGATCCAGAAGGCAGCTACTTCAATCTCCATGCCACTGGAAGTGCTTGCAAGAAATATTTTTATTGTTCATGGAGGTGGAGGTGGAAATAGAAGACATTTATAGAGTTAGATCAAGGGTTGGGATCCCCAAATTATTGTCAAATTTTGCAAGGTTGCTGTTCGTGATATGGTTTTGAGGAAGGCACGTGGAATTTCTTCATTGAAATTTAAAGAATACATATTGCAATTTTTTCCTGATCTCCCTTTATCTGGGATTTCTTTGAGGAAAGAATTTTCCTTGGCTCAGGCCCTGGCTAAAGAAAATTCTATTAAATGTTTCTTCTTGTTTCCTGCTATTTTTTGCCTGTACATCTCTGACCACATCAAGTGTTTTATGGATCCTGATGCAGCATCGGTATTTCTGACTGCACAATGATTGCTTATCACCATCTTGGAATGCCTACATTGTCTAGGGCAGAGTTCTTTGTTTTGTTTTTGGCTGGTCAGCATCACCCGCTGCTGGGTCTTGTTGTAAATGCTTTGCTGTTAACTTTATTTTTCCCCCTTTTTTTAAATAAGGGTGGGCAGAGGGAGAGGGCTTGAGGTGGTGAACCTGTTCCTTAGGGAAATCATGGCAAGGGGATTATTTATCTTGTTTAATTTTTTGTTAAGTATGTTTGTTTCGTATTTTTTTACTTTTGGCTATAAAATACCAGTTGTATTATTTTTAAAATAATTTTCTGTATTCATATATTATTCTATCTAATCATATGCACACACACATCTATACAGGTAGTCCTTGCTATTAAGTCCTTGCTATCAAAGTTACAAAGGCACTGAACAAATGGAACTGATGCCTGGTCCACAAAGTTACAGCCATTGTAGCACCCTTGGAGTCACATGATCAACATTTGGGTGCTTGGCAGCCTGCCTGCATTTACGACTGCAGGGTGCGCTTCAACTCCACCCACCTACTTATCTCCCCCAATCTCTGCCCTTTTGGCTGCCCTGTGCTCCACCACCTCTGCTGCCCCTGCCACCCCTGCCACCCTGGACGCTGCCACCCCTGCCATCCTGCACCTCCGTTGCACAGGGCAGTGAGGGCAGCAGGGGTGGTGGAGTACAGGGTAGTGGGGGTGCAGGGTGGAGCACGGGGGTGGCAGGGGTGGTAAAATGCACGGTGGCAGGGGCAGCGGAGTGCAGGGCAGCAGGACCAGTGGACCATAGGGCAATGGAGCATAGAGCAGCTAAAAGGACAGAGATGGAGGGAGATAGGAGGGGCAGAGGTGAAGTGGAGGTGAGTGCAGCAAGGCATGAGAAGCATGAGGTCCTCACCTAATGACAGCACAGTGCTAGCCTAACAACTGCAACCAAGACTACTGAAACTGCTGTTGGTAAGCGGTGCAATAGCATGATGTTTCGCCTAAGGACCACATTGCTTAGTGATGAAAATTCCAGTCCCAATTAGGGTTGTTATGCAAGGACTACATGTAGGTTAAAAATATGGTGTTGAGTCCAGTTGTTTGTTGTTGGAGTTCCAGATATAAGTTGGTTTTAGGATGTTACTGGAGAATAGAAAAGATGGTAGATGGAGGATTTTGTGGTTGGTAGAATGTTTGGAGTGTTCAGAGACTTGTGGATCCCTTCTCAGTCTGGTGCAATGTGGGAGGTGGCAGTGGAGGAGGTTTAGGAAACTGGCAGACAGTGTATCCCCTGAAAAAATCTTCTGGGTGGCTGGAGTGTGGTCAAGCTGCTGGCTGAGGATCATGGCCCAGTGTTGGAATCAGTGGAGGAGCCAGAGGAGCTCCTTGAAGAGGCAGCAACAGCATGGCAGTAAGAGCAGTGCTGCAGGTGCTGCAGATCAGCTGTTTGCTGATCAGCTGGCTGGCAACATGCGCTTTAAAGCCGGAAGAGCGAAGTGGCTGGAGATTGTCCAGTCAGAGACAGAGATGGGTGCATCCTCCATGTTGGCAGTTGACATCAGCAATAGCTCAGTGGCAGAGACTGCTTGTGGTTGCCAGTTTCAAGTAAGCTCCAGTGTTGATGGCAACCTGGAAGTGCCTGTCCTCAATATGTTGGAGGTATTTGATTGTCCAGGTTTGGGTCGGCAATGGGAGCGGGTCACTGAAACAGCACCAACCTGGATTATTTTTTTTATAGTAATTTTATTAAAGATTATAATTATAACATTAAAAACTAATACAAAAAATAAAATAAAAAGAAAGAGTAGAAGTGCAGAAAAGAAAGAAAAAGAAAAAATAGAGAAATAGAAAAAAAAGGAAAAAAGAAAAAATAAGAATATAGTAAAGAAAAAGAAAAGAAGTATATAAAGAAGTGACTTCCCCCCTTCATCACAAGTATAAACAATTTTAGTAACTTATCACCTTCTCTTAAATTACAACAAATGATCTCTTCTTCCCATATCCTATCTCTTATCTATAAACAAATCCTTAAAGCCTCGTCATTTCAGTCCTGATGTCAGCAAAAG